GGTGGCTCTGGTGGCTCTGGTGGCTCTGTGAGGGGCCATTGCTGTCCCTGACCGTTCCCATTGCTGCCATCCCCAGGGAAGAGGGGCTGTCGTGTCCATGTGCTCTGCCTGGACCATTTCTTGCTCAGAATGTGGTTTCAATTGAGGGCTGTGAGCCCCTGGATGTATTTTGAAATGGAAAGGATTTTCTTTTCTTACCCATCCTGTTCAAGTAYTTTTCCCTTTCCTTGTGAATCAAAATAAATAACTATTTCCTTTCTCTCTGCATGATAGCAAACATCTATAARGAACTCAGGTGATCCTCTCTGCTTGCAGGGCAGAAGCAAGCAGGTTTCATATGGCACATGTAGACATTTGTCATTTGTCACCACTGATCTCGATGGATTCATCGTTCCCCCCTCTCCCCTCTGCTGTGCTGCTTTACAGTCAGAGAAAAGCCTCTCAGAAATACCACTCTGTAGACTCCTCACACAGGCACAGCCTTGCTTCATATCTCACTACTGGCAGGATCAAAATGGCATTTTTGGTGTTTACAGGGACTTCTATGAGAACTATAAAGTGATCTACAGTTTGGAAAACTGCCTTGTCCCAACTCTACCTCTGTATCTGGGATGGATGTTGAAAAATAATCCATCTCCAAGGGAAAAATCAGATACCACATTTTATAGCTGAAGTCACCATAACGTTTTGCTGATTTATTGGATGACTGTTTGCCACCTTTTTTTTCCTGCTTGTACATGCTATGTCCTTTCCCTTGGTGTGKGGGATGGTGATGCCTCAGCTCTTTGTTGCCCCATGTTCTACACCTTTGGAGCTGCACAGTGCAACATTCAGGCCCTGGGCATACCTAACACTGCCCRTGCCATGGGGGCTTCTGCTGCTCCAGGGAAGGGATGCATGGCCAAGGATTTCCAGTGGGCCTGTGATAGTTAACAAAGGCCAAAGTTTATTAAAGCAAAATAAATGTCACTTTCTCTTGGTGGAATAAATTACCCTATGGAGTGTGATCATTGTGGATTTAACCTGGGACCTTGCAGTAAAAGATTATACAGCAACCTCTGACCTTTTTGATTTCTGCTTTACTCTTCTATTGCCAAGGGAATGTCCCTGATCAGGTGAAAGTGAAATGTTTAATGGGCCCTATCACAGTAATATCTTACATTGACTCAAAYTGATAAACTCTTGCCAAAAATTCTTAGCATCTGGCACTTCCACAGAAACCACAAACAATGATTGCACATATGGGATCCCAAAGGCTAGAGGTCATGACAGCAGTTTATTACATGCACCTTACAGTGATGATTTTCCCTGGGAAATTAACCCCTCTCTAACACAAATGCATCAAGTGAGCTCCTCACGGTGTATCCATCACATTGTTTTGACTAATCAAGGAATACATGCACAGAGTGGTGGCAAGATGCAATTAAGTAAAAGATGATTGATTAGGTTTCAGTGTGCTCAATAATGTATAAAAAAGGTGATGGTGAGAATGAAGATGCTGGGTAGCAGCTCAGAGCTGTTCATTGTGCAGGTCCCTGGCGTTGCTCAGCAGTTCCTGTCCCAGTGGCTCTGGGATGGGCAGCAGCAGCTCCTTCCCTTGGCATGGCCGGGTCCCGAGGGCACAACTCCTGCCCTCACTGCTCCTCTCAGCCCCYCAATCTCTGCGTTGGGAGGCAACCCTGGCAAACACATTTCACAGTCACAATATTGGAGACAATTATCCTGCTGTAAATAAATTGTGGTGGTTGTGATCACTTATACTGAACATCATCCTGGGCATTTTGATCTCCTTTTGTTCTTTAAACTCTGTCATCACAAACACGCAGGTCACTTGGCCCAGTCACAGTGACAGTGCTGAGATGTGGCTCCTGGCAGTGGCAGCTGCTCASTGAGTGTTTCAGATCCACCCTGCAGAGCTCACATGAGCGTCACCAGGTCCTCTGAAGGGTCATTGCTCAGCCACCTCACTGTGCATCGTGTCATGGGCAAGGTCCTTCATGCCAGCAAAGCTTTCAGAAATGATGCCAACCCATTTACCTCTTCCTCCTGTGCTCAGGACTCCTCAAGGGTCAGAGGCCAAGCCCCAGGTACTCCATGGGTTCAGCTCTGGGGTTTGCAAGAGCACGTGAACCCTGTTATGGGAATTCTGGTTCTCTCTGAAAGTYGCTAGCAATGAGCAGCAGAATGGTGAGGAAGGGAAGGATTCYCACAAGCTGGAGTTGGTCACAGCAGTGAAAGGACAGAGGCAGCTGAAGCWCAGCSCAGCTCTGGGGGCTGGAGCTGCAKTATCCAGAGCCTCAGTGCTTCAGAYCACACTGTACACAATCCATGGCCAAATCCCATCACCAATTCCTGACAGAAGCTGCTCCCTGGCACACAGATCCCTCCAGAGCCCCCTCCATGGCCTGGGGACACAGGGCTCRGGCACTCTGCTCCTTGCTTAGGGACATGCTGGTGCTCTGTTTGCCTCAGGCTTTGGCTTTGCTGGGTTTCCAGCATGGTTTTGTTTCCAGAGGTGGATGTGACTGCACTGGTGGCTGTTCCCTCCTGCTGCAGCCCGGAGCCCAGCTCTGTGCACTCTGGTTCTGCTCAGAACCAGAGAACACGCTGCCAGCGACGGGGCTGCCTCACTCCTTGCATTGGGAACTCTGTTTTTAAGTGAACACCCTATTTTTTAGCTCTGTATGGCTGTATTACTTGTATATTTATATATTCTGTATTTATGTTATCGAAATGTAGTATTTTGTAGCTGTCTGTTACAATTTGTTTAACTTGTAAAAAATATGACTGTGCTCTCTCATACTTAACCAGCTCCTTTCACTGTAGATTCGCTGCTCCTTTCCCTCTGTGTTGGAAACAAACCACCATAATGTATGTAGATTGGAATTTTTTTTTTAATTTAATTATTTGTCACTATTAAATTATTTATTAGTGTTTTTAAATTTCATTTCACTTCAGTTTTTTTCCTGCCACCGTTGCTGGCAGTTAAGGTCCATGAGTTTCTCATGCATCATGTTCCTTCCCACAAACATGTGCATGTGCACATCACACACACACACACACACACAGAGTCTAAACAAGAACAGAAAAAGGAAAAAAGAGAGAGATTACACTTCAGTATATTTGTAAATAAAAGCAACCTGTAAACTAAGCAGGATTTTCTCTCAGTGTGCAGTTCTTTCTTTCCTTTGCAGACTGAGAATGTGTTGTGTGTCCTGGGCAGGGATGGCTGAGCGCAGCCTGGATGGTTTTAATGGTGTGGAACTGGAGCTGTCTGCTGAAGGGACACGGCGAGGGGGTGACAGAGGCTCCTTTTGGGTGGTGTTTGGCCTCTGCAGGCAAAGAGCTGTTCTGCAGGGATGGGAGCAGATTGTCACAGGGATGGACAGGGATTCAACCCAAAGAGGCAGCCCTGGCACAGGAACTGTGCTGATTGCAGAGACACAGAGGGATCTTCCTGTGCAAAGCACATGTGAGGACAGCCTCRTGCTAAAACAAATGGCTGTGAGTATTAGCAATGGATTGTAAAGCACCCATCCAGGAATGGCAAACTCAAGACCAATAGAAAATGATAGACACTGGCTGATGTCTCTGGGCCATGTAAACATGAACGTGAACTTCAGCTGAGGTTTGGTGTGGTCACATCTGATAACTCAC